GCAGAACCTCCCTGCCCACTGCCACTCAGGGCATGCTCACGTGCTCTGCCCATCCCCACCCACCCTTTCTTCCAGGTAAACATTGGATCTGTCACTCACCCTGAACACATACTGACTGAAGGAGCCAGGCAGGACTATTTCCCTGGGCGCTCTGTAATGCTGACAAACTTCTGAAGCCAATCATGTCTAACGGCGGATTTCTGACACTAGTAAGCCACTGAAGAAGTAGCATCTGTCTGAGGCAGCTGAGCACGGAGGCCTAAGGCTGGAAATTCTTTCCTAGATTTCAGAGCAGAGTTAGGAAGAAGCAGGCACAAAAGCAGGACTCGACCAAATGGGCACAGTGTCGCACGGACACGTTTATGCATCCACAGATACTTCCTGCATTGACTGCGAGCTGGCACACATCTCAGGAAGTTGCAAAGGATGAGGCAGAGTGCCTGCCCTTAGGGACTCAGGCCGTGCACCCTGGGCTTCTTTCCAGCAAAAGGCAGGAGGCTCATGGTCCCGCATGGTCCCCGAGGACATGCCTTGCGTCTCAGCCACCAGGTACAAGTCCCTGCTTCTCTGCCGCTGCCAGGCCGCTGCCTGCTACAGGGGCCAGAGGGTCCTGGCCATGCCAGCCTCCTGCGCCCATGAGGAAAGTGCTGCGGTGCCACCAGCCATCGTGGGGGAGGGGTGGGCACAGAAACAAAGCAGTGCCCTCTGCAGAGTGCCCGCACTGGACACAAACGCACAGGACAGCCGAGCCCCGCCCGAGGGCCAGGCTCAGCCCACTCTACCCTCACAAACACAGGACCTCCACCAAGCGGCCCGCTCTACCCTGGCCATGCTGCAAGTGTTTACTGACTCTTAAGATGCCGCAGAGAAGCAGCAGGCTTCCGACTTCGGCTCCCTCTCCACAGGGCTCTTCACAAAGAGAGAGGCATGAGGGGTGGCTAGGCTCTCCGGCCTCTCCCCTGCACCTGTGTGTCCCAGTTAACTCCACCAGTGCACCATCCGGCCGGTATCCTCTCCCCTGCAGCAGTAGGGGAGCATCCTCCCCTCCGTCCTGGACAGCCCCCTGCTGCCCCAGACAGGTCACTGCCAGGGTACAGGGTACTGCCCCAGGTGGGGGGCCAGAGAGCAGCTCTGAGCCCAGCCCCCTGAGGAGAGAGGATGGAAGCCAGGGCGCATGGTCATCCGAGGCCCTCCAGCTCAGCTCAGCATCCTCAGGACCAGCCTGCTACTCCAGGCAGATTAACTAAGAGTTAATCTGAGTTACATAACCACCACTCCCTGCGCCCGGCCTCCTGGTGAGTTGCCAGCCCCTCTGAATTCCTGGAAGGGGTCTTGGAGGAAGAAAGAGTGGGTCCACAGCACCCGCCTGCCCACCCTGGTCCCAGAAAGCCCCAGCTGCTCCCCTGGCGTCCGGCTGCTATCAGGCAAGAGAAACTCCCTCCAACCAGACTTCAAATGTGCAAATCTAGATCAAGGATATATTTGGCTTTCCTCGCCAATCTTTGCATCAACTTGGTCTCTACTGACTTGTGACCCTTTGAAGAAAACTTGGCAGCTCCGTATTTAAAGCAGATGACTCCAACGTCACCCCTAGGGAGGAAGCCCTGGCTCTGGAGGCTCTGAAGTCCTGGGTTGGGGGTCCACATTTACCTTATGGTGACCCAGCGAGCAGCTTCAATACTTTCTAGGTCTCCCTCCGTCCCCACAGAAGGCTCAGGGAAACGCAGGAACAGGGAGCTCACAGAGGGGCACCTGGTACACACCTCAAGTGAGTCGGGGTCCGAGGAGCTGGGGCTGGGAGGCGGAGGCCTGCATGGGGTGTGACTGTTCCCCCAGCAGCCCCACCAGGAGGCGCAGGTGTGTGCGGTGGGAAGCAGGCTGTTACCTCTCCAGGGACCCCGAGACAGACATCTCTGGGAGGCATGGAGCTGTCTCAGCGTGTGAGCTGCCCTCACCAGGGCATGGAAAAGCGATGCAGGTGATCATATAAACAAACAACACCGCCGGCTGGGGTGGAGCACCCCCGGCCCAAGGCAGCACATGCTATGGCAGAGGTGAGCACGGGCCGGGGGTGTGCACTGCTGTTGCCGGGAGAGTTGAACTGCCTCCTAGATTTGATTTATTCGAGCAGTATTGTCCCTGATGGGCATCAAGGCCACTGACACTCGATGGATTCCAGTTGCAATCAATTTAGTAGCAGCAGCTGGAAATCAGAAAGAGCCAGGATTCACCTGGAGCCTGGTGTTTGTGGACAGAGCGTTTGACTTCATCCACTACAGCCTGGCTGCGCAGCCCCGGCTGCTGGGGACTTGAGAGCTGGGGGTGGTGATAGCCAACCCCCGTGGGTGCCTGCCTCAAGGCCCAGACATGGCACGGCATGCACCACCGCGAGGGCTTGAGGAATTGTGAACTATCTCGCTACACACACCCCGGGCCTTCCAAATAGAAGGGGCGAGGGAACCACAGGGCAGGAGGACAGACGGGCTGACCCCGGGGGACCCCGCCTGCGTAGGGAAAGCCCTGGAGGTCTCCAGCCCCAGAGGCCACCAGCAACCAGCAGCCTAACTCCAAATGGGCTGCCCGCTGAGTGTGCAGGCCCACAAGCTGCTCCGGGTGGCCCAACATGCTCCGCTCACAGAGCCCTGGGTGCTCTTCAGGCACTACCTTCCTCATGCTGATGGAAGCAGCTTTGGGGCTTTGATACAACTACCACCAAAAAAAAAAAAAGACATAAAAGCAGATCGATAAGACTCCATCTGTTTCTCCTAAAAAGTCAGGGCTCCATGTACAGCTCAGTTCCACCACGGTCGCAAACAGCCAACTCCAGGCTGCTCTGGGAGCGGAGAAGCCCCTCCCTCGGATTACAGGGGGCCTCCGGGCCTTCTGTCACCTCGGCTGGAGGCACAGCGCCTACCTGTCCTAACCAGCCTCCGAGCTTGGCTGCAAGATGCCCACAGCTCACCTGGGGAGCCACAGCTGGCCAGGGCTGTCTGAGAAGCAAAGGAGCTCTCAAGCACTCGACCCTGGGGGCTCATCCCTGTGTGCCGGCAGGGACACAACCCAGCCCAGCCTGCTGCGCACGCACAGCCTCCGACCCTGGCTGGCAGACAGCACCACCAGACAGGCAGAGCCCTCACATCGGGATCCTAACTAGGTGACAGCTGGCTTCATAGGCACATTTACAGAAAACCTGTGCTAACATCGAGGGGAAAAATAAAAGGTCAAACTTCAAAATCACCAGCAGAACTATTTCTGAAAGCAAAATTCCAAGATCTGACGTGGGGATGCTTCAGGGGAGCGGCTACGGAGAATGTGGAGCCAGAGAAGCTCCTTTCCATGACGTTTGCTCGCCTCTCCCCTCATCAAAATGTACTAATCTTTCAATCTAGCGCCTTAGCAAGAAGAAAAAAATAATGCCTGCACAAATAAGTTGCCATCGACTGTCAAGTGCCAGACAGCAGCTTGCCGGAGCTGAAGGCGGGCGGCTGGACAGGCTGGGACCTGCGGACCCTTCCCCAGCCCGGGAGGTCTGGCTGAGACCTGGGACAATCAGGCAGAAGAGCAGGCAGGCCAGCACCTGGGTCAGGTCACCCGGCAAAGCCGTCCTTGCCACCATCGCAGCACCACCAAGCCCAGCCTTATCAAGCCCAAGCACACCAATCGATTCAGGCTCAGCCAACACCCAAGAAGATCAGCTTCATGATTAACCTTTCAAAGCCCACCGCGCAAACCAGCCCCAGCACCAGGAAAAGGAACGCCAATAATAACATCTGACAATTTTCACTAGATGTGTTAAACAGCATTTACCCCTGGGTGCCAAATAGTCTCATAAATCACGGGTAGCTAGAAAACACTTGGCACGCCAGTGCCCTTCCGAGTTCTCAAAATCAGGACGCACACGCGGCCCCCGCCCGCGCCCACCCCCCCGCTTCTCGCGGTGGGGGCGGCGGAGCTAGGCTGCTCAGGCAGGCGACCCCTTTCAGCCAGCGCGGGAGCGCAGTGCATCCCAGTGGACAGACGCGAGAACGCAGGCAGCCTCTCCGCCTCCACCTCAGTGCTCGCGGTTCTGGAGCCACCAACCCCAGACCCAAAAGCCAGCTCTGCCGAGCCCCCTGGCAGCAGGGAACAGCCAGGAGGAGGTCTGCTCTGCAAAACGGGACAACTGTGCCCGGGGGGGGGGTGCTCCGGGACAGCCAAGGCAGAGGCTGGAGGCGCCTGAGCACCTGGGAGGTGAGCAAAGTTTGCGGAGCAGGGTCTTCATGGACCCCTCATGGCAGGCGCTGGGATACAACCTGGCTCCCGCTGCCCTGGAGTCCGGGACACAGACAAGCCGGGGGTGCACCAAGCCGGTGTGTGCGTGTGCGTGGCAGTGAGGGGGTGCCTGCCGCTCCTCAAGAGCCCAGGCTCCCCAGACCCAGCTGGCCGCCAGCTGTGCTCCACTGTGGGACCCGAGGTCAAGCAAAACAGCTGGACAGGCAGCTGGGAGCCGGAGCCGTGCCCCTCCAGCTCAGCCAGGGCCCGGGAGGAGAAAGAGGAAGGGCGGAACGAGCGGCTGTCTGGGCTCCGCCAACTCCTGCGGAGCTCTCCCAGGAAGCAAAAGCTCGGTTCGCCCGGCAGCCCTGGCCCCCGCTCCCGCAGCCCCAGCAGACCGCGCCTCGCCCGGGCTCCGGGGAGGAGGCGCGCCGGGGCGGCCGGCCAGGACACTGCGCTGCTGGCGCCCGGGCTGCAGGCGCGCCCGGCCAGTGCGTGGCCTGGCTCTAGGGCGAGCGCCCTGCCCGATGCCCCCGGCACTCGGAGACCCGGAGGACCGGCTGCTCCCTGGGGGAATGCCGGGCTCCGGCGTCCAGACGGTGGCCCCACCGGTATCGGGGCACCTCTGGCCGCCTTCGGAGAGCGGGGGAGGGGGGGGTCCCTGTATTCGCAACACTGAGGAAAGCGCCACCCAGCCCAGCCTGGCACCCACGCACCAGGCGCACCGTGCCGCCGGCCGCCTCGCTCACCTGAGTCCTAAAAGCTGTTGGATCCACATGGTCACGTTTCGGGGAGCAGAGCCTCAGACCTCGCTCGACCCGGCCATCTGCGCGGCGCCGGTCTCCGCTCTCGGTTCGGTCCGCGCCGCCCGCCGCCCGCCGGCCGCGGGGCGCACAGCGATCAGAGCGCGGCCGCGCGGGGCTCCATGCCGGCCGCCCAGGGGCGCACGGCTCAGGCGGGCCTGCCCTGGGGGGCGCACATCCTTGGCCGGGCAGGGGCGCGGGCCCCTCCCGGGCGCCGGGGGCCGAGGCCGGCACGGAGCGACGATCGCAGCGCGCAGCTCTCGCCTCCGGCCGGAGCCCCTGCCGAGGGGTCAGTGGTGCCCGGGCTCTGGACGACTGTCACTTGGGGGCCACGGGCCCTCTGCACGAGCCGCCGGGCCCGGGGCTCTGTCCGGGGTCTGGCGCCGGTCAGCGCCGCTCAAGTTGCCCGAGCTCCGTCTGAGCGCGCGCTCTGCAGACGGCCGGGCCGGGGCTGGCAGGAGGCGGGCAAGGCGGGCGCGCGGGGCGAGGGCGCGTGGAGCGCGGGGCGTGGGGACGCGCAGCGGCGGCGCCGCGCTGAGGAGGAGCAAGGGGATCCCGGGGCCCCGCCGCCCGCGCCCACCGCGCCCTCCGCAGAGCCGCCCGGCCGCCTCCCTCTGAGCGTCTGCCGCTCCGCGCGCCCGCCCCCGCCTCCCGAGCGAGCGGGGGCCCAACTCCGCCCGCGCGGCCCGGCTCACGTCACCCGCCTTCCCCGCCCCTCGAACGAAAGGAGCCCGAGCCCTGGCCCTGCCCCGGCTCCCGCCTCGCAGCCGCCCGGCTCTCCGCGGGGAGCTGCGCCCAGCCTGGGCAATGCCAGAGTCGAAGGCCTAGCCGCCCCCTTCCCCATCCCGGGCCCGTCCGGTCCCCACCTTGGGAAAGGCTCCGGAAAGGCCGCAGGCTCCGATTGGACCGCCGGGCGCCGCCGGATGGTGTTGCCACGGTAACCGGATCGCATGCGGAGCGGTTAGAGGTTCCGAGCCCGGTTACTCCTGCGCCCAGCGGCCCAGGAGGGCTGGTCTGGGCCGGGGACGCTCGTGATCGAGCATTCGCGGGGCGCGTGGAGCGGGGGTTGCTCGAAAAGTTTCCTCCCGGGGGAGCTCCGTGAGGCTGGGAGGGTCCTCGGCCCGATTCCCTCCGCTCTGGCCGCCCAGGTCCTGGAGGACGAAGTCTGCGATCGCGGCTAGTTACGGAACAGCCCGGGCCGAGGGTCCCGGCCCCATGCCGCCTCTGCCTGGTCGGCCCGGCCACAAAGTCCCAGGAAACCTCGGCCCCTCAGCGAGCGCGACTCGGTTAGCTGTGTTTGCAAGGGCGTGAATAAAAGACAGGCGCTCTGGCACCGAACAAAGTGACGGAGGCGGGACCTTCCGTGCGAGGCCAGGCTGCCGGCCCTTCCAGGCACTGTCTGGGCAGAGCCTGCTCCCAAACCTGCCCCGCTGAGTGGCGCCCCCTCAGGAGCCCGGGAATCTCCCCGAAGCCTCGCGGGCAGGTGCGGGCACAGGGCAGAGGGGAGGAGGTGCCCGGACTCTGAGATGGGCGGGGGCCCGGGGCAGGGGGTCTCCCAGGGAGGGCAGGTGATGACTGATGACCGAGCAGAGGCGGCCCGCGCGGGCGGGACCCGCGGGCGGGACCGGGCCCAGGCGGGACTTTCAGCCCCTTCAGCGAGACTTCTAGGAGGCACAGGATCCCCGCCCCCCCGGGAGGAGGGGCACCTGCTGGCCACCTCGGACCCGGGAAGTGGCAGCAGGCAGGACGGGCGCCGCCAGTTCCAGAGCCTCGGTCTCCTCTGTGAGATGGGTTTCCTGTTTCCTGCCGCACAGGCACTGCCTCGACTGCCGGTGTCGGCCTCAGTGCAACACAGGGTAACGGTGCAACACAGTGTAACAGTGTAACAAACTGTTAGGGCTCCGGGGCCAGCGGCCGCAGACACCCGGTGAGTCAGCATTTTGCCTCAGCGGCTCCTGGGTCCTCTCCCCCGGAGCTTTCCTCCCTCAGGAGCTCAGGAGCGGAACCTCCGGAGCAGCAGGGAGACAGTGAGGTCCTGGAAGAGCAAGCGGGACTCGGGGTCCCTGACAGAGGAGGCGGTTCCCGTACTGCTGCCACCTGGCGGGGAAAAGTGGAGGTGCGCACAGGAGGCTGGGGCGGGAGGGGCCGTCTAGCCGCCCTCGCAGGGCCAGGTGGCCTGGGGGGGTGGGCTGACCTGCCCCTAGGAACCTCCCACAGCCTGCCGGCCTCTCCTGAGGCGCAGAAGGGATTTGAAAGCACTCTGTTATTAGTTACGTTGGAATGCAGTTTCTAAAAATCCATGAAACAAGGCAGGTGCAGCTCAGGGGTGGCGTATGTGCTTAGCACGCATGGTACCCTGGCTTCAATCCCCAGGATCCCCCATAACAGTTTGTGATACAGCAATACATGTTCGTCTTCATTAATACATTGAAGAAGCATTTGCTAGATCCCAAAATGCCATAATTTTGATGCCACAATAAGAAAATACAGCATTTCGAGACAGCTGTGATCACAGTTTCTAGGCTCGGCTGGGACAGGCGCTGTGCTGCCACTGCGTTCTGCTACCGACATTCAAGCTCAGTAGGGCCAGCAAAAACAAAGACAGCACTGCCGGCCCCATCGGAGTTGACGACCCCTGGAGTCCTGCACATGTGCCCCGGGGCCTCTGGACCAAGAGGACAAGGGCAGGGTGGTTTTCTGAAAACAAGGATGGGAACAAGCAGTAGCAGAAGCCACCGGAGGGCCGTCAAAACCCAAGTCCCCAAGCCCATGGGGCCTCTTCGGTCCTGGGGGAGGGAGAGGCCACCCCCTCCCCCGGGCTAGAATGACCCTTAGGACCTGGCCACACCAGGGGCTTAACTGCACATACGCACACAAGCACACATGTTCACGTGCACCTGCCCACATACATGCACAAAGGAACACACGTGTGCTTGTGCACGTATACATGGACACACATTCACACACATGCACGCACTGGTGAACACGCGTGCACAGCCAACATGCACAGAAAGGGTGGTCCAGAGGGTCCACCTGCAGAGTGCTGCTCTGGCCCCTTCTCCACCCTCTAGACACCAGCCCTGAACCCTGGGCTGCTGCAGAGCAGGCTGAGTCTCCTCCTCCCCTCAACAAAGGGGTCTGCGCCCATGGCCCTGCAGGAGGTCCCCCTCCATGCCCCCTGAGGCCATTTACCTAATGGCCTTCACAGACTGGACTATTTTTAAATCCCATCCAAAGCCAAATTGAGCTGCCATTGCTCATTTTTCTCCCAAGGAGGTAAATGTGTCTTAACCATGACATTTGATTAAGTAGCTAAGTTTGGGGGGTTAAATGAAGGGAAATGCTGATTAAAATTGTTACAAGTTTCTTTAAAGCCGTGGTTCACACTGGTGTCTCCCTCTCCCAGCCCTGCAGCTCCCCCTACCCAATGTCACCTTGCCTTCCTCTCAGGGGAGTTTGGGGGCTGGCGCTTTGGAATTTCTCCCCTGGTGGCCACAGCTGTTTGCAGCGGAGGCTCCACAGAGCTGGCTCAGGGCAGAGGCCAGAGCTGGTCATGGAGGAGCCGAGCTCCACCTGCAATGAGACCTGCAGGGCAGCCAGCCCAGCACAGGGCGCGCAGGGCCCGCAGGAGGGAGCATGGTCGCCCCGCCCAGTGAACCAGAGGAAACGGAGATCCCGGGCTTCGGCTGACCCAGGGAAGAGTGAAGGGCAACCCTAAAGCCTGAAGAGGGCCAGAGGCCACCGAAGAACAGCATCGGCCAGGAGGAAAACTCCTTTCAGGCTTTCAAGATTCTCCTTGATAGGTTTGCCTTTTCCATTTAGATGAGAAAGGGTGAAGAGAAAGAAGGTTAATTTGCATTGCAAAGTAAGGTGACAAGGTTTGAAAGCGGTTCCTGACCTAGCCTGCTTGGGAGGTTTGGGGGCAGGAAGGAGGGAGAAGAGGGGTGGTCCCAGGGTGGGCCTGGTAGACCCGGAAGCCAGGTCCAGGCTGGGGAGGGCCGCCTGCCGGGGGAAGTCCTTGCACCGCCCCAGCTACGACTGGGACCACTGTGTCGTGTTCCTGCCCTCTGCTCCAGTTCCGTCCACCCCGCCACACCTGCAGGGTTTAATGAGCCTGTGCTGAAGTTGAGTCGGCCTGGTGGAAGGGGGTCTCCCCGGGGTGCAGCCAGGGGCTACAGGGACAAGAGGAGCCAAGAGCAGCTGAACACGGTGACCGTCCTGGAGGAGGAGTGAGGAGAAGTCTGCTTCCTCCCTTGTTTTCTAGAAGACTCCGGGCCCTGGAGAGGGACAAGAACAGATGCTGGACCCACACAGTTCCAGGATGGGCTCTAGACAGCTGGTTTGGATGTGGAGGGGTCGGGGGTCGGACAGAGAGAGTCTCCACGGCCCACAGTCCACCTTGACACTTCCTGTATCTCACCATTGCCATTCCCACTGCTGGGGAAAGAGAGCACGCCCTTTTCTGGTGCCCAGGAAGGACCCCTGAGTGAGGCTTGCTCAGAACACTCAAGGGGCCACCCAGGAAAGGACAAGGAGTCATGGCAGGTCCACACCATAGGGCTGGTGGAGTCCCCTGGGAAGGGCCTGTGTCACTGCGGCTCAGAGCCATTGCCCAAGTGATTGCATAAGGCCAGGCTGGTGCCATGGAATGAGGAAGCATAAAGCCACCCGGTGAGGGACGGGTGACACTTTGGACAGTCATAGAGTCTTCCATGCTTGGCAGTGCCAGCAATGCAAGAGGATCATTCATAGCTAGTTTTCTCCAAGCCCCTAAACTTGAAAGAGTTTGTAAGGAGGGAGGAAGCCTGATGAGCTTCTGTGTTTTCTTTTACTTCCAGACCCTCACACCCTTGAATCTCAAGGCTGAGAGGATTCAGAATCAAACCTCATCATCTGCCTAAGCGGTGCACACCTGGCCATAACATTAGCTGTGCAAAAGCAGGTGCTTCTCAGGAGCAACAAGTCTGTAGAGCGAGCGGTCACCTCTAACTCCGAGATGGACCCATAGGGCATCTCTGGGCTCTGAGCGCCTACCTAGAGGGGAAAGCTGCGAAGAGTCAGTAGAAATCATCACAACTGCAGTCACCGCCGCCGC